CCACTGCATTTTTAGCAATTTAAACTGGGTAACTTCTATGAAAAACATTGGGTAATTTGAGCATGCTCATATTACACAAAAATGGCATCTTTAAATAAAGTCATAACTAAATGTTTCTATGCATAGTTTTTCAAACAAAAATGGATTATATTTTTAGCTAACATATTTTTCTTTATGAGAAAACTAATTTCATTATTTTAGTACCAAATAATATTATTTTAACAACGCGAAAAATTTAACAGCGTTTTAGGCACTTCAGTGACGTAACTTTTTTAGCGTGACAAGTTCAGAATATAAATATTGGCGAATTTTTCGGCATCTTTTTCGGTAAATATTTTAATACTATCTATTTTCAAACCCAATTGCCAGTTATATTTCACCTGCAAAAATTAAAAAAGAAATGTTGATCTGTGGAAGTTATTCTTCAAAGTTTCTTAAAAAAGAGGCTTGAAGAATTTTCAAGTCGTTTTCTCTATAGTTAATTTTATTTACACTTTTTGACAAGTACATATACTGTTTTAAATTGCTTTTTTTTGGGTTCTAGCACATTAAGAAAGATTATTTAGCTTATTAAACTACAATATTTGATACTTGTTTTTATACTAATTTGTTTTTTCTATCAACTTAAAAAAAAAACACTTTTTATTATTTTTTTGATATTTTTCTTGACGCCATTATGGTATTCCGTTCATCCTACATAGCTAGTTATTAGGATAAACTGACCTATATCTGGCTGCGTCCTTATTCTGGCCGATTTTCAAACAAATCTTTAATGCAGGGTTGCATTGATTGCTTTAAAGTAAAAATACAATATTTAGACTTTATAATTTATAAATATGCAGTTTAAATTACTTATTGACTCGTTAACTGCTTTGACACCTTTTTTTTAAATTTTGATAATATATACATATATATTATCAAAATTTAAATTTATTAAATTTAAATAAATATATATATATATATATATATATATATATATATATATATATATATATATATATATATATATATATATATATATATATATATGTATATATATATATATATATATATATATATATATATATATATATATATATATATATATATATATATATATATATATATATATATATATATATATATATATATATATATATAATCCATATAGATATGTCTCTTTTTAACTTTTCAGTAACAAAAGAACAGTAGAGCTCTTCTCCGATCTTTCCTTGATGAACTAATTCATCTGCTACTTCTTTTGGCAAAATAGCTTTGGACACAAGATTAAAAACCACCTGATTTTTGTTGAAGTTGATGCCAAATGTATCAAATGCATCATTGACTTTTTTTACATTAGGTGAAATTCTTTCGTTTGTAGATGCCGCCAGTTAGTAGTTTTGTTTGCGAAATTGTGACACAATATTATTTTTTTTGCAAAATATTTTTTATATGGAGTTTAAAGCAGGAGCAATAAAACAAAAATGGTTTAAACATGTTTTGTGTTTTTTTTGGATTTTGTGTAATATCAATCATCCCTTATGACACCTTTAAAACCTTGTTTTCCTGTTCTAAGGCATGACCAGAACCAGTATTACAAAAAGTATTAAAATATAAAATTACAATATTTTCAGAAATTTAAGAGTTCTCTGCACTGTTACCCAACACTTTAAGTGGTATTTAACATCATTCTTTTAGGTAGATTTATGTAAAATAAAAATAACATTTCAAAACATTCGAAATAATACAATCGTCGAGCATGAAATGTTCTATTTCATCAAAACAGGTATAATGTTGTAAAAATCCGGAGGTTAAAAAAAAAGATTTTTTTCTAAAGTTTGTTTTAAATAATATAAATTTTATAATAACTAGTATTTCTTAAATTATAATAAAAAACAAATTTTTAAAAACATAAAATCCGTGTTTAAGAAAGTATTTTAAAAATAATCGAAAATCACAAAGCACCGGTTTATCCCCGGTTTTATAAAAACATATTTACCCTTGTATCTTTTTAAGTAAAAATTTTCAACATATGTTTTTTAAATTATTTTGAATACCTGATTTATGCTCTTTTGATTAGTATAAAAAAAAATTAATTTGTTAAAAAAAAAAAATTAGTTGCTATGGGGACCAGTTACGTCATACCATCTGTCACGCAAAATAAAAATCGAGTGACACCTGTCATTTTTCAAATCCTTATCATACAAGGATCCCATATCAACAAAAAGTTTGCTTGTAACACGTATGTGCACACGAAGGTACATAGTGGCATGCACTATTTTATTGTAAACGTATACGACTATAATAAATACGATATAAAGATACGATACGATATAATGTATACGACTATAATAAAACCGCGGTAAATTTTAAAAATCTTTTTTCAATGATCAAAATCTCAAATAAAAAGGATTTTTCTTTGGTTTCTTTTGTTTTAATTTTAATTAGGTGCCCCAAGAAGTCCTAACGGTCTTATCACAGTGCAACGTGGATATTTAATGTAAGCAATTAGATTCATAGAGTGACCATTAGTGTGACACTCTATATGACCATTAATGTGACATTTAGTGTAGACCATTGATGTGACATTTAGTTAGACCATTAATGTGACATTAATGTGACATTCACTCTACGTGACAATTAATGTGATAATTAGATACTAGAAAACAAAAATTTGCTAATACTTTTACATTAACAAAAGTTTTAATAAAAAGTTATTATTTTTTTATATCTTTAAAGCAGAACTTAAATATCTTTAAAAATTCTCTGGTATTTTCTAAACTAATTTGTTATTTATTGACTAAGTGAATACTTTTTTCAAAAATACTTTAATTTTTATTTTTATCTAAATATTTTGACAGTAATTAAGAGGTTTTTCCTCTCTTTTTGCTTTAATGGTGGCTAGGTGAGTAGAGTTTTTTTAATTAACAGTAATCATGTTTTTGATGAAGACCTTTTACCAAAATAATAAAATGAGTTAAAATAATAAATTAGTTTAGATAAAAATCTTTTTCTTAGTTTTTCCTTTAATGACAAAATTTTTGCTGTCAAATAGAAATTATAAACTAGTAGTTTTTCTGTAAATCCTGCGAGGCTTATACTTTTATAGCAGTATGTTACATCTTCCCCCACTCAATGCTGCAGTGCTAGTTGTCCTAGTGCGGGTTGTGTTGCAAACATTTTTTTTGTTTCACTATTGCAGAATAACTAAGCTTTATATTATATTTATCAATGTTGGAATAATGAGTCACTAAGACTTATTTCATGGCACTGAAAAAAAAAAGCAAATAAAAATTATAAACAATAAATGTTGTATTTCAAATTTTGTTGCAACAAGCCCCGGTCTCCCCAACCTGATGTTATTTTTTTGTTATAAAAAAGTCTATTTTAAATATCTTTTACTTAAACTAAAGCAGGGATTGTCCCTGAAAAATAAAAATTGTAAAAAGCAAAAGTTGTACTTATGTCTAAACCATAAATATAACCAATTGCAAAATTAGTATCAGGTTGCCTCTCTTTATTGCACCCGCCTGTTTTTCTATTGATGTACTTTTTCCTCTAGAATATATCTAAAAACGCATTGTAAATGTATTTGGATCTGCTCTAGCTATCAAGCCTGAGCTACTGTCTTATAGTTATAAGGTTGCATTTTTATAGTTATAAGGTTGCATTTTTATAGTTATAAAGTTGCATTTTTATAGTTATAAGGTTGCATTTTTATAGTTATAAGGTTGCATTTACATTTATCTTATAGTTATAAGGTTGCATTTTCTGATCTATTAAAGACCGAAAAATATAACGGTAAATGGTTTATCTTGCTCAAACAAACTTGCTCTATTCCATCTGGTAATAAAGAAACAATATCAATTTTGTTCTAAAAGCATATAAGTTGTAGACTAAACAAGAGCCTACATCTTAAACAAAAGTTTTGCCTAAACAAGAGTTTTGTCTAAACAAGAGTTTGCTCGACCATAGGCAGTAGTTAGAAGCAAGAGATCTAGGGTTGAATACGAACTCAATGCATATTTCGTATCATTGGTGATGGTGTCATGAACTTCCTAGTTAAATGCTCCGTGGTGTTCAGTTAGATCTTTTTAGGGCCCCTAAAACTAAAAATTAAAGAAAATAAAATTAAAAATAAAAATAGTGGGCATTCATTATGCTAAACGTGGTAAGTATTTGAATGTAGTAATGCTCTTATTTTCCTGAAACCATTTGCACCGTACACAACCATTTGCCGTTGCATTTTTGATCAGATATATTATGATATATTATGATATAGATATATTATGATCAAAAGATTCAGACATGGATTAAACACCATCTAAATAAATTTGTCGTCTATAATCAGAAAATGTTGTGCATGGAAATGTTTATACTTCGTTTTAATCCAAATATGGGCTAGTGTAACTTTGTACCACACAATGATAAACTACATCCTTTAAATTCCAAATTCTCTAAATGGTTTTTTTTAATGTTTTTTAAGTTCTAATTCTTTAAAGTTACTGTTTTTTAAGTTCCAATTTTTTAAATTCCAAATTCTCTAAACGGATTTTTTACTGTTTAAATGAGAAATGGGGGAAGCAAAAAACCTATATGCAGTTAGTTTTATTTCGAAATAAGTTTTAAGCCAATGTCCAGCATTTTAAGTATATGTGAACTAAAGTTCGAAAATTTCTACGCATAAACGTTTCTTGAGAAATTTTCGAATTTTAGTTCACATATACTTAAAATGCTAGACATTGGATTAAAACTGATTTCGAAATAAAATTAACTGCATATGGGTTTTTTGCTTCCCCCAGTTCTCATTTAAACAGTAAAAAATCCGTTTAGAGAATTTGGAATTTCAAAAATTGGACGGTTATGTTCGTACGGTTGGAATGCTAGTTGCAGTTGCAGTCAAAAGAAGTATTGAGCACGTGAAACATTCAACTCGAGTAATTGAATTTATTCTTAAGACTACTCAAAAATTCCGTCCGTACGAACATAACCGTCTATTTGTAAACAAATAAAATTTCGTAAAAATAATACAGACTCATGTGATAAAAATCTACAATATTTCTATACTTTGAACTTTTGATTATAAGTTTACTGGTTTTAGATTTATTTATTTTTAATTAAAATTAAAAAAAATTAGTAGTAATTTAAAAAATTTAAGACTTTTATATTTAATAATTGTTATTAAAATTAAATATGATTTTAATAATGTTACTTTTTTTTTTAATTACATTTTTTTTTTGCAGGTATTAATTATAAGTTAAGCAATAATAATTGTAATAAATATTACTACTATTCATTAAAATTGAATAATATATATATATATATATATATATATATATATATATATATATATATATATATATATATATATATATATATATAATATTTATATAATAAATATTTATATATATAATTATATATTTATATATATAATATATATATATTATATATATATATATATATATATATATATATATATATATATATATATATATATATATATATATATATATATATATATATATATATATATATATATATATATATATATATATATATATATATATATATATATATATATATATATTTGTACACAGGCTTGACCAGAAGACATGTGATTTCATAATATCCCTAATCAAATTTTATTTGATTTTAAAAACTTGACCACGGCTGTTAATATGTTTTTAAAATATGTATACATTTTAAAACAGGCTGAAAAATTTATCTTTAATTTAACTATGAACAAACTAAAAAAATCTTATTGTAAGTAAAGCAAATAAATCTTTGTAAAATTAAAGAAAAATAAAAACTATTAAAACCATAATAATAATAAAATTACTCAACTAAAATAAGTAATAAACTATAATGGTAACATTATCTAAGTTATGTTTGGAATAAATAATTTTAAATTGTTTATCTTTACTAATTTTTTTATAACAAAATATTATGCGAAACTATTTTTAATTTAACTTCTAACGATTGTTTAATGAATGCGCTCATATAAAAGTTAAAAAAGATTCTCAACAGTTCTTTGCATTAACGTAAATAAAAGAAAAAATAAATGGTTTGTCTAAAAAATTGTTATAATTGTTTGTTTTTTTTAAAGACATTTATAATAAAAAATACATACTTGTATAAATATAAAAAATTATATATATTATTCATTTTTTTTTTTTTTTTAAATCCTAAGCAGTGAATATTTAAATGCGTTTCAATAATATAAAAAACATTTTCAATAATAAAAAAAGTAAAGATCATAGTAATTTAAGTTTTCAAAAAACTTTTCTACTTTTTAAGCTTCGTATATAAAGTCTATTAAAGAGACCATCAACGTTTAAAGTGGTCGCTTATAAAATTTAATAATTTTTTAATATAAATTTTACTTTTTTTATTTTACTTATAAAAAATCTTATATAATTAAATTATATAAATAAAAATTTATACAACTTTCAACGATACTTTTATTATAATCATGAGCTCCTTTATTTAAAAGTGTTTTGCTCATATAAATACATTAGTAAAGATAAACTTGTCAAAATTATTTATTTTTAACGTAATTATAAACCAATTTTTTTGGCGCATTTGTTAAAAACCATAATTTTTTCAGAGCATTTGGTTAAATCATCAAAACAAAATATTGTTTGCGTGGTTATATAAGGACTTGAAATCACACCCCTTCCTGACTTAGCCTGTGCCTATTCATATATATATATATATATATATATATATATATATATATATATATATATATATATATATATATATATATATATATATATATGTATATACATATATATATATATATATATATATATATATATATATATAAATATATATATATATATATATATATATATATATATATATATGTATATACATATATATATATATATATATATATATATATATATATATATATATATATATATATAAATATATATATATATATATATATATATATATATGTATGTATATATATATATATATATATATATATATATATATATATATATATATATATATATATATATATAATAGTTTTATTTTATAAATATTGAAAAATGCTTATAAATTATTTTAGAATTAAAGTGAGATCTAACAACTACTATGACTGCAGTAAGTATGTTAAAATAATTGAATAATAGAAACCACCTTTTTGTTTAAAGTGATTGTTTTTGTTACCACTGTTTATGTTTTTATTATTTTTATTATTATTATTATTATTATTATTATTATTATTATTATTATTATTTTTATTATTATAAATGATTTGCTATATATATTATTATAAATGATTTCCTAAAGCTAAAAAATTATGTAGATTTTGACATATTGCTAACAATATATATAAATGCATATGGAGTGTGAATCTGATATACATTGTAGGACATAATGATAAGACACCCCAAAAAGATTTATAAAACTATATACATTTATATTTAAAAACTAATTTTTATTGTAAATGAAAGCAAAGGGTTTACAACACTAAACAACATCATAACAAATTTATTTTTAATGTAACTCTTTGTAATGTAACATTTTATAAAAAAAACAAAAAAAAAAACTTTTTTCAGTGCGACAAAATTGTAATACAATTTTACAAAAAACGTTTTATTTGCAAACCACAGTTGTAAGCAATTAAGAATATTTATTTGATAAAAACGGGTCACTCGGTTAGTTACATGGCTAGAGCTATTGGATGCAGCCAAACTGTGATTAAAAACGTTAATAGTCCTCATATGTATGGAATAAAAAAAAGTCCCGGACTTCCATCAACAATAAGTGACCATGATAGGCGAAGGTTGTTCAAACTTCAAATTCTTCATTAACTGCACGTCAAATTGCTGTAGAAGCTGGTGTGATTACTAAATTATATACAGTTCAGTGAGTTAATCATAATGCTTTTCACCTTTCGTGCAAAAAACTTCAGCGAAAACCACCTTTGACAACAAACCACATGAACAATCAAATAACTTTTGCATGTAACATGCAAAGAAGAGTGACAACAAGTAATTTTTTATGACAAAAAATGATTTTGTCTTGATGGGCCGGATAGATGGTATTATTATTTTAACGATTTGCATCAACGCAGCAACGGCATCAATTGGGTGGTGGTGGTGTAATAATTTGGTGTGCGATTGGGTATCATGGTAAATAAAAATTCATTTTACTGACAGAAAAATGAAGGCTAAGGATTATCTTTTAATTGTTCAAAAAATTTTAGACATGAAGCATCTGTAATTGGTGGTGAAATTTTATTTTTTAGCAAGATAATAGTAACGTTCATACAGCTACGATAGTAAAGGAGTACCGTAAAACGGGGTGAATAGAAACAATTTTCAACTTTGGTATAAAATTTTGCATACTAGCAGTTGCTCTATATAACTTTTTTTTTGCCCAAACACCAGTCTCTGTTAGTTTACCTATTTGTTTATAGTATTTTAATTTTTTAATTTTATTTGATTTTACAGAAAAATAAATAAAACATGGTGTTTCTATTCATTCCGCAAATAAGGGTTAGTAGACACAGTACTTCAATTATATATGTTTTTCTATTGAAACAAATTGGTAAAGATTAGAAACGGTTAAATATTTTTAATTTGTAAATGAATAAATACAAATTTATTTCTCAACGTAACATTAATGTAAGTAAATTTGAATAGGTATACATTTGCCGTATTTAACAAAATTAAGTTATGATTTTTTTATTTATTTAAAAGTTTGTGATATTTATTTAGTCTATTTTTTTGTTATAAATTGTAATTAAAAATAAAGTGTAATTATATTAATAAATTGTGTAATCAGACAGGTCATCTTTGAAAAATATCATGCCTTTGAATTGCGCACTCGAGCACAATACTGGGGAGGATAGTTATAGGATGACGTGGTTTCTGGAGATAAGAGATTGATTCTTTAGTTGTGATAAACTTATTAGTTTGTTGAACTCTTTTCAAAAATGTTACAAAGAAACCATCATCTTCAAAATAACTACCTTGCATATATCTAAAAGATGCTTTTGTTTTACCATAAACTTTGACCAACATGTAGTCATTTTCATTGATGATGAGGCTTTTGCCTGAGGCCCTGTCAGTACTTACATCCAGATCAGGGGAATCAGAAGAGTAACTATGCTGCACTGAAAAATCATCTTTTTTTTCTTATCTTAGGAGTCTGATCTTGTCTCAGACTCTGAAGGAGCTCTTTGAAACTGTTGTCAACCGCTTCATTGTTATTTTCAGGATCCTGGTTTTCCTCTTCATCAATAACTTGTGCAAGCATAGAGAGAACCTTGTTCCTATTTAAAGGTGCTATACCACATTTCTTAAAACCGGCGATCACATTTTCTTCCTTCAATGAATCACACAACTTTTTAAACAATGTTGGAAACAGTTGCTTCTACTCTTCCTGGACCTTTTTTCCACTCTTCGATTATCTGTCGCCATGTCGATTTCAATGGCCAAAAAAATGCCACGCCTAGAGGTTGTGTCAGGTGGGTCGAGTTAGCTAAGAGAAAAATAAAACTGATATTGTCTTTACACATTTTCACAGATTTTAATGATAAATGGAAAGACAAATTGTCCCCAATCAGAAATTTTCGACCTGTTTGTTTTTTCAGGTATAGAAGAGCAACTGTCAGTATCCAATCTTCAAAGCAAAATAAATCAAACCAGACAGACTTTGTTTGATTGTACCTGGCATTTTTAGGCCCACCCTCTGTCCAGCTTTGATACAAGTGAGTTGCCTTGTACACAACGTAAGGGGGTAAAATAGTGCAATCTGCAGCAGCTGCAAACATCACAGACTTAGATGCCTTTGATGAGTTTATTATTCTTTCTGGATATTTTGTCCCTCTACGTGTAATAACCTTTCGTTTACCAGGGTCATCACTTAGATTCATCTCATCATAGTTAATGATGTTAGATAAAGACGCATCCTGTAATTCATTTGTAAGTTCATCAAAATAGTTGTTAATTGTATCTGATGTCACACCAGCTCTCGATCGTTTAATATTTTGACACATTCTCATGGCCAGTTAATCCTTGTGACGTTTTAAAAATGTTTCAACAAAGTCACAGCCAGGGAGGTTATGTTTAAACCTCTTTTTTTTCTTTCCCTATTTGGTCTAAGAAGTCTTTAATAAGAAGTTGTAGTGTTGTAGCGTCAATAGGATAGCCCCATTAGCTATATATCTTCAGCCTTTCAACAAACAGTTGTTCTTTGAGAGATAAAGCTATCTGACCTCCATGTTTCTTTATATTAGGACCTTTTTTCAAGTGTCGATATATAATAATATAATGCAAACCATGTTTTTTAGCAGACTTCCGAAGACTGAGACCCTGCTGTATGTCAGATATTGCCTCTTCGAATTTTTTGTAGCCTCCTTTAACCACCAGTTTGTAGTGTCTTGGCATTTTACAGGGTCCTGAAATAAAATAGCTGTGTCAGTTAAATGTCTAACATAAATATATAGCACACAGTATGTATTTTATACAGTAATTTAGTATTAAATTTTTTTTGTGACGTGTATAGAAACACTAGAAATTAAGTTTTTCTATTCACTCCGTAAATTCAGAAAATCTAACTTAAAAAATAAGAATAATTATTGAAATAATATTGTTAAAGTTAAAGCTTAAAGTTCGCCTAAATCTTTTATATGAATAATCAAACTATGCTTTGTACAGCTATTTACTTTCAAGAACACTAAGTATTCCAATTTACCTGGAAAGTTCAAAGTAGATAAAAGAAACACAAGAATTGTGCGGTAAAATTCAACACAAAAAACAAACAAGAACCAGTGCTGCCAACCAAACAAATCATTATTTTTCTTTCAGGTTAAAGTGTAGCAACCTAGAAAAAATAATAATTGCCACCATTCACCCATAGTTATGTAGAAATTAGATTATATATATAAAAATAAAGTTTCGTTTGTATTCACCTCACTGTTGCTATTCACCCCGTTTTACGGTATTTCAACAGCAGTAAAATTGAAACATTGAAGTAGCCAGCTAGATCTTCAGACCTGAGCATTATTGAGAATGCTTAGGCACAACTGTCACATTGTGTTTGAAGGTGGTAAACAATATAATTCACTAGCTGAAATTTACATTTCGTACATAAAAAAGTTGTATGATTCTTTACCTGCTAGAATGATTGAAGTGATTCAAAAAAAAATAGTAAAAGTACCCACTATTGTTTAAAATTGAGACGAATTTTTATATTAATGACAATTTATATAAATTTTTTTCCAAAAGTGTCTTATAATTTTGTTGCATTAAAAAACAGTGTTTTTTAATAAAATGCTAGTTAGGTTTAAAATAATTTTTTTAAATGTTGTTTGATCCTTTTGCTCTCATTTATTATAAAAATTATTTTTTGAATATAAATGTATAATGGAGTTTTATAAATCTTTTTGGGGTCTTTTCATTATGTCGCGCAGTGTAGAGGAACAAGTCAAATGTTTTAGTTAAATCATAGTATGGTCTTAGGAATCAATCAGAGATGAAAATAAATAAGATTAAAGGATAAATCAGAACAATTTAATCATTTTAAAAATGAAAAAATCCCATTCTCCAAATAAAGTTTTCCAAATTAAATTTTAATAATAATTCTAAAAAATATTGAAAATTAATTATTTTCAAAAATTAATAGAAAAATGGCATTAAATACTCTAATTTATTAATTGTGTAAAACTTGAAATAAAAGCGCCGTTATGGGTACAATAACATGATTGCATAACTGCAAAAATATCCATTGGAAAAAATTTCTTGGTAATCAAGATTTTCCCTGCAATTTTTGGGATTTTATTGGCAATTTGCTTGTAAAATTAATTTTTCAAAATTTGCAAATAATTTTTTGCAATGAGTTCCAATAACAGCAAATATTATATAAAAAAGTTAGCAAGAAATTAAGTGCAGTTTAAAAAAATAACAAACTTGTGTGGTTTAACAAAATTTCTTTAAAAAGTTTTTCTCTATTTGGCTGAAAAATTAACTAACTTATTTAGTATTACTGCAACCTTTATTTCAAGTAGTACATGTGCTTCATCAACAAAAATATTGAGGTTTAATGGTAAATCTTTTATCTTTTTTTTGTTTTGTATTTTATATCAACTGAAT